GAATGGAGCCCGACTGCAGCGTTGTGCTTCCTCGACAGATATGCAGTATGATGAAGACGATGATGAAATCACCCCCGACTTGTGGCAAGAAGCCTGCTGGATCGTTATTAGGTGACTTTTTAAAGCTCACTGTTCATAACGCTTCAGTGTACGTGCTCTTGGTCTTACAGGTAACATCCAGTTGGCTAGCAGCATGTCATGGGAGCTGCAGGCTTGGTTATGCTAAATTGTGTGGTTTAGCACTTTCAGAGCAGAAGGGCTTTAAGCAGAAGCAGCAGGGTTGTCATTAGGGATTAAGAAGCCCTACTGGCCCCCAGTAGGGGGGGCAGTCATCTTTTGAATGAAGTGAGAAGTGATTTTGATACCATATCAAGCACATGATTTTGCCCGCTACTCTCACAGCTGATGCTGGCATTAGGAAGTCGCTACTTAGCCATTTCACCATGTTAGTGTTTTTCTAGCAAGACATGAGTGTCCAGGACCTGCAGCTTCTTGTGACTGTTAAGGAGTGGGATGCTGTGTGGAACTGAGTAAAAAGTGTTTCTCTTGCTAATTGCATCATTCATAATATGTATACGACTGGTGTCTTAGGGGAGTAGTTGCAAACAGAACAGTATCTGCAGGGGTGGTCCCACAGGCAGTCTGGATGGAGAGCGGAGATGAGAAACCTTGGAGGCAGGAGGAGGTCCTTTTTCTTGCAGCCCAGTGAAGAGTACTACCTTTGCTTTCAGTCAGGTGGGAGGTAACGGAGGCAAGTCCTTCAGCTGAGGCTGCACATCACTCCGTATGAGGAAACACTTTTTTACTGTGAGGGTGACCAAGCACTGGCACGGATTGTCCAGAGAGGTTATGGAGTCTCCGTCCTTGGTGGTATTCAAAAGCCATCTATACACAGTCTTGGGCAGTCAGCTCTAGGTGACCCTGCTTGAATGGGTGATAGGACAGGATGATCTCTAGAGGTCCCTTCCAACCTCAACCGTTCTGTGATACAGGTTGCACTTTCCCTTTCTCCTTCCCCTTGTGCAATAGCAGACTGTGCTGGCAAGATTCACTGTGGCAACAGTATGATAGCCAAGGGTGTGTTCCCCTTCTTGGGGAAGCCTGAGTTATTGGTAGGGAGGTAGTTCTTACTAGTTTTCTCCAGAGATCTTGGCAGTGACGGAGCAGGAGCTGAGGTAGTGTGGGTTCCCTGGCTGGCTTCAGGAATGTGAGGTAGAGGAGCTTGCTGGCAGGAGCTCATGCAGCAGATGTGTTTAGGTCATCCCATTAAAAGTTAGGATGTGGGGCTTTGAATTTAGGCTTTGATTTTTACGGTTAGGTTGTGCTGGGTTGAAGCTGGGTGACACAAAGGCTAGGGGAAATCCGGAGAAGGAGTGATGCTGGGAATCTCTGTGTGGCTGGAACAGAGGGGATCCAAGCTAAGAAAAGTTCTGAGAACTGTTACCTTGACTTAGGGGCATGCACTCAGATTACTGCAGCTTGGAAAATTAGTTAAAGCAAAGTAATTTCCATACATTGCTGAAAGTTTTAGCTGAAGCCACTTTCACTGAGGTTTCAGTCATCATGTTTCCCTTCTAATTTAAGGTAGACTGTGCATACAGTCATGGCTTAGCCAAGAGGTGGCAGCAAGTCTGTCACTTTGTAGTGTCTGTGCCTTCAAACACTGAGAGAGAATTGTTTAGCGTTTTTGGGCATCTGTGTTTGAAATTCATGCCTTGGGAAGAGTGAATGTGTTTGATTCTGTGCTGTATTTCATAGCTTTTGAAGGTTTTGTAATAAATACATCTTAAGCTTGTTGATGTATAAAGTACATGAATTAAATTAAGATCTTTTGTTCATTAATGGACTTTTTTTTTTTTAGCTCCTATTTTGATGAAAAGGGTTTAGTCAGGCAACAGTTGGATTCTTTTGATGAGTTTATTCAGATGTCTGTGCAGAGAATTGTTGAAGATGCTCCACCGATTGATTTACAAGCTGAAGCCCAGCATGCCACAGGAGAAGTGGAAGAGCCGGTAAGTGGAGACCCCCGGCAGAGGTGATGTGTTTTTACAATGCAAAATGGCTTTAGGTGGGTTTTATTCAGCCCCCGTCTTAAGAGACGGCAATACATCTGAGTTATGACACCGCTCATGTGGTCAATAGGACAGAAGTACGAACTCTTTGGTGTCTATGAGGTACATGGCCAAGTTTCCAGATAGTTGGGTATATGGCTGAGAAACACACCTAAGAGCTTTGTTATCCGTGGAATCAAACTTCCCTCTTCTGTACAGTTACCCTCTCCTGCTGGCTAAATTGTTCGTTGAGTAGAGAAATGACCAAGCAAAGGTTGTAAGGCAACGAGCCTTTCAACTTGTATACGTGCAGGTCTGATGATTTGCTTATATTTCCCTACCCCCCTTGATTTTGGTCTGTGAAGGAACGCTTTATGAGTAGAGCGGCTCATCTCCAGGTCCTTTTGCACGCAAGGAGGTCAAGAGCCAAGTTGCCTTGGCATGCTTGTGCACCACACATACGAAACACTTGAACAAAGCTACTGTTGTGTAACTGCTTGCTTTCTTTTAAGTTCTAGCTCCCCCTACCAGACACACAAGTGCACTTTGATAAGGGTATTGTTTTAACACTTCTACCCCTTTATTTTAAATGTGAGGCTTTTGATTTAAGTGAATGCAATGCTCGAAATCTCATTGCAGTAGGATTCTGAGGGGTGAGTGGCTCTCAGAGCAAAATGAATATCCTGGAATTATTCTATTGCTGAACGGTATCTGTCCTTTCATGCCCATGGTTTCACTGTAACAAGTGAAAGGATTTCTGTGGAACTAAAAGCTATTAAATTTAATGTTTTGTGCATGGGAGCAAAGCTTTACAAAAGCTCACACCTTGTTTGATATGTCAGCTATCTCATTGTATGTGTTGAAGCAGATTCACCTTTTTGCATCATAAAACTAGCAGTTTTATCTAAAGTTACATAAACTATAAATATCTAAGTAGGCATATGTAAGGCATATTGTTTGTTAATATATTCACTGACTTGGCAGATTTTGAGTTTGTTAGCTATTCTGTAGGAAGGAGACCTATTTGGGTACTTTATTCTTCTCTTACCAATGGTTTTGACCCTTCAGTTTCCTCTGGTTTTTTTATTAATGAGGTGTTCAGAAATTATTGAAAGTTTTTTGAGTGCTTTTTTGATCCAGTCATCTGAATCGGGATTGTTTCCATACCTTGGGCTGATGACATGCAGCAGCATTGGGTATTAAGCTCTAGGGCTGCTTTTGAACAAGCGAAATGGATGTTTCTTCCATTGCAGGTAAATGTCTTCTTGTTTTCCAGCCCCGGTATCTGTTGAAGTTTGAACAAATCTATCTCTCCAAACCTACA